AATGTAGAAACAAATACTGTAAAATTATAAGAAAAAAAAACTTTAAAAAAAATAAAAAAAAATGAAATAAAAACCATTGGTTGCCTTCCATACAGTGCTGAATTTAATGTCTTCAGCTGGACAGCTCTTAGATCATATAAAATGATCTACGGCCATCGAAATATATTTGTATCCCAAGGTAAGTTTCATGATATTCTTTTTCAGATTTAGCATAAATTCAATACTTCATATATATACCTTGACATACTTTCAGCCAAAACAAAATGGAAATTAACAAAATTTTCTCAAAAATAATATTTCTATTTTGAAAAGAATATTTCCTCATTTCTATCCTATTTTGTAAGGCTCTCATTCATTAATAAATACTTTCTATTAATAGACCATAAAATGTGATCAAGCTATATGATTTTCAAATTAGCTCTTACCCAATCTAGAATTTTTTCATATAAATAGATATCTCTAATTCTTAATATGTTCTTTTATCTACATAATCTTCCCCTACTCTATTTTATCTTCCATACATATTTGTTCAATTTGCGAGGAGTAAAATATTTCAAGCTTAGAAATAATTCTAATGGGCTACGAGTTTTGAAGGATGGACGGATTTTCTTATTTAATCTTAGATCTAATAAATTTAGTAAAATTTAAATTTTCTCCTCCAAAATTATCCCTATATTCATATTCATTATTTTCGTTTCTCCCTATTAGTTGAATCAACTCTTTTTCTAGCTTTTCGTTTCTCAACTCATCAAGTTCTTCATCTTCCCAAGAGCTATCTTTTAATTTCGGTATATGATATACATCATCATCCTCACTATCAACATCCATGGCAGCAAAATTCTGATTAAATTTATTAATTTTGTCTCTTACATCTCTCAAATCAACTGATTTTTCCTCACCTAAAATATATTTTTCTTCATTTCTATCCTTACTCCTTTTTACTAAAATTTAGATTATTTTTCTATAATCAATTGTTGTTTCTTCATCTAAGGGCTCTTTCTCCTCATCATCCTCATTATATTTATTCATCAATTGTGAACAATAAATGATTTTATTTAAATTTTCAGCATTAATATTCTCATTTACTTCTAATGACTCATCTATTTTCTCTAATAATTAGAAATAAGGATCAGGTAAAATATTCTCACTTAATGTATTCATTGTCCTAATATTTTTAATTCATTGGTTTTTTTCTAAATTTATCTAGATAGACTTTCCTTACTAAAATCTTACTATTGGACAATTTCCTAAATTTTTTATGGGCTGACTAGGTGACTATCCCTCTTCTCTCTTATTCTCAAAAGCTTCTATAATTTCTTTCTGGTGCAACATCATTTGATTCATAGTTTGTTGCATCATTTGGCTCATTTTCTACATTATTTCTATAGCATCATGTTGGATTTTAGAGGGCTGATTTTTTTGAAATCTATATTTTTGTTTTGGACAAAATTCAAAATTTGAATTAGATCTAAGTGCTTCTGAATTTTGAATATTATTTGGATTTCTCCACGAAAAATTATTCCCCCAATTAGAATTATAAGAATTAGAAAAATATTCCCTATTTTTACTAAAATCGTGGGATACTTGCACTTGCTCTTACCTAGGATGAAATGATTGATCTAAGTTATAATATTGAAATTAGAAATGATCATTTTCACCATATATAGGACATACACTATATGCATTCAATTGAAGGTTAAGAGGCTTTCTAATATTCTCAATAAGTAAGTCAAGTTTTTTAATATTTGATTAATCTGATTAATCTCATTTCTTAAATTAGAATCATCATCATGATGTAATTCATAAATTCCTCTCTTCATATTCTTGTCATATATTTCAAAAGAGGCTTGATCTCTAGAATATTCACTTAAATTCTCATAAAGACTATAAATTTCATTAAGAATTTTCTTCATAAAAGCTCTTTCATATATAGAATCAACCATATTTCTATGTTGTTGTAATAATTCATCATAAAAAATTCTTTTGAGCTGTCACTTGGGTATAACATGATGAGGACACTTTTTAAGTAAATTTTTGAAATTTTCTCATGTCTCATGTAAAGTTTCTCTTGATCTTTGAGAAAAACTCCATATATTTTTTCTCATATTTTGAATTTTTCTTAAGGGATAAAATTTTTGAAGAAAGGCCTGTTCTATGTCTTTCTAATTAGTTAATTCTCTATCTAATGTGGATAGCCAATAGCTAACTTTGTCCCTAAGTGTATGAGGAAATAATTTCTTTTTAATAATTTTTTGGTGTAACTTGAGAGAGATTAACTAAATCACCGACCACATGAAAATTTTCTAAATACTAATGAGGTTCCTATAAAGGCAATCCATGAAAATTAAAGAGCATTTAAAAAATTCCTAAATTTATTTTGAATTTAATAGTGGGTGCTAATGAGACTCTAATATTGGATGCTCTTTGAAATAAAACATGGATATAATGATTTTTGATGGCCATAGAATTGTTCTCATTTTGACCTATACTTCCTTCAAGATCCATCAAAATTAATTTTCTTTTGAATTTTTAGTTTTGAATGAAATAGTGAAAAAAATTTCTAGCTTTGGATGCAAGGGTCTTCTACCACATATTAAAAAAAATAAATTCAAGAAAAAAGATTAATAATTATTACCCTCCTTTAGTATGCTCTAGTCCTTGTCTTGCTTCTTTTCATTCTCCCCCTTTTTTTTTACAAGAAAATAAAACAAGAGTTAATTATTTTTTGTACTCTATGACAAGAAAAGAAAAATACTAAATATTATGTAATACATTCTCAGCAATGGCATTAAAATTTGACATGACTTAATCATTATATAGTAAATTACATAAATTTAAAACTTAAAAAAACTAAAAAATACTAATTTTTGAATATTTAGAAGTATTTCTAAACAAATATATCAATTATAATTCAATAAAACTTCCACAAATAGTGATAATTTATCAAGTCAATCACAAGGTGGTAATATTGGGTATGTTTTCAAAAAAATTCTCAAAGAATATGAATTTTTATAAATTTTATATTAAAAAATAAAAATAAAATATATTTAAAATTCACAAAAGGAAAATAAAGGTGTGGACATCAGGATGACATTAGTGCCCGACAAATGTAAATTGGGTGAAAATAGAGAACTGCTTGACAATTCTTATGTAAGCGATTATAGACGATTTAATTGATTGAATTAAGATCTTTAAAAGTCAAAAGAATCGTAATTGAATGAAGTATAACTTGGTAAATTTAAATCACAAAATTATCACTAAATAAAGTAAAAATTAAGTTGAAAGTCAGAAAACAAAGTTTTGGCGTCGCAATGACGATGCATTGATGATACATTAGAATCTTAAGTGTTTGAAAGGATTGTCGTGCAATGTCCATGGCCTCAAAGGCTCTCTTTGGACAAGGATGACGTGGGCAATCTTTAGATCTCCTTGCGAAGTCTAGAGATCAATGAAATGAATCATCAAATTATCTCTTGCAGCTGTCACCTAGTGTTCGGAGTTGGATGAAAGTGGGGTGCATGTTAGGGAGCTTCATCTTCAAGTCTACACAATAAGAGGAGGCTCTTCATCATGTCTGATATAGTCTCAAGAGGTGGCAACTCATCTACTGGTGGATCATCCCCTTCCCGATGATAGCTTATTCGTCAATCAATTGTAAATGATTTACTAGATAGATTTGTAATTCTTTTATCGCGAATCATTCAGTAATGTTAGTAACAATGCTCCACGAATCAAGTTGATGAATTTTTTGTCGATAACCTAGCAATTCTAGCAGCTTAATCTTTCACCAATGATTTACAAGAAAGTCACGATAATAAGATAAAAAATATGAGTTTTGGTTTTGAGAGGATTCAAACCCACGCTAGTTGTCCACCTACATGAGAGAGATTGAAATAAGTACTCTAATACCCTTATCAAGTGACGTTATCATGGTATATCTCTATTATAGCTAAGGGGTAGTTTAGGTATTAAAATCCTCAAAAACATTCTAAGAAGGTGTGACTGCCAGTTTAGTCTCACATCATTTGTGCGTCGAAGTTTGGACAAATATATAATAATATCACATTTGCAGGTAATGAGTCTCTTTCTCCCATATGTATGACTACTCTTTGCCCCACAACCAATTGGCCACTAGTGATGTGGAAGGGGAGTGGCACACACGTGCCCCTATTGGTCCTTAGCCGCTCGAGCCCCTACTTGTGGCTCACCCTAACTACACTTTCAAACCCACTTGAAGGCCTAGTTGGCTAACAGGCCCCCCTATTTTGTTATATTTTAATTTATTTATTTATTTTCATTTATCTCAAAAATAAGACTATAAAAATTATATAAATTAGTAGAAAATTATATAATTAGTCAAAAATTCATGTTAATCAATTGAAAACTACTTTTCACACTTAAACACAAATATAAGTCTATTTCTCATGAGTCAAGAAAAAAATTATATTATTTACTAATTATTAACTCATGATAATGAAGACTTATCACTTCTCTTGCTATGTAGACTTGAAGATGAAGTTTCTTAAGATGTGCCCTACTTTCATCCAACTCCTCTCTACCGGGTGACATTTGTTGGAGTGTCGCAAATTCATCATTTTTTCACTCCGTTGGGTGACAACCACCAAAAATGATTCGACGACCCATTTCATTGATCTCTAGACTTCACAAGAAGATCTGGAGATTACCAACGTCATCCTTGTCTAAGGAGAGCCTTTGAGGCTGTGGACACTACACTACAATCTTTTCAAATGGTTAAGATTCTAGTGCATCACCAACACATCACTGTTGTGATGTCGAAACTCTTTTTTCTACTTTCAACTTAATTTTCATTTTATTTAGAGATAATTTGTGTGATTTAAAATTTCAAACTACTCTTCATTCAATTACGATTCTTCTTCTCTTAACAGGAAGCTAGCAAGTGAAGGAAGGGGGGGGGAGAGAAAGAGAGAGAGAGAAAGAGAGAGAGAGAAAGAGAGAGAGAGAGAGAGAGAGAGAGGAGGATGTCAATAGAGAGAGGTCCTTACCTAAGTGGTGGAAGACTCACGAAACCTAACTCAGGTGGTGCTCCATTGGAGGATGGAAACAGTGTTCCTTCTCCTAGTGACAAGAACGATGGCAAGTACAACAGCAGCAACGACGCGGGGGAGGGGGCGCCAACGACAATAGTAGGGAGTGGCGAAGGACCAATGGTGCTGGAGCAAGACAGGTTTATGCCCATTGCAAATGTGATACGGATCATGCGCAGGTTGCTGCCGACGCATGCAAAGATCACCAATGACACAAAGGAAACCATCCAGGAGTGTGTGTCAGAGTACATCAGCTTTGTCACCAGCGAGGCAAATGAGAGGTGCCAATAGGAGCAGCATAAGACCATCACAGCCGAGGACCTCCTCTGGGCCATGAGCAAGCTCGGCTTCAATGACTACGTCCAGCCCCTCACCCTCTTCCTTCAGCACTATCGCGAGGCTGAGGGTGACAACCACGGAGGTCCCCTCCGGGGGGAGTCTCTCCTGACACTATTAAAGCGTGCAGCCTCGGATGCTGGCCTCTTCAGCCACCCCGCTCTACTGTCGCCTCCATTCCATCACCCCTTGCCCCATGATCAGCATCCCCATAATCTCCAATTTTACTACCACTTGCACCCTGCTCCACCCCCACCATCGGTATTCTTTCTCAGCTCTGCGAGAACAAGCACCGGCACTGCAAACAGAGAAGGGGAGCCGATGTCAGGGAGATACTACAAGGATGGGGCTGCGTCCTCGCAAGCAAGTACCTCCCAAGGAGCTCCTAAGGATGGATTCCATCCCTTCTCTTCATATAAGTGATAATTCAATAGATGTTTAAGATCGTGGTTATCGAATTCCATGTCAGCATAATTTAGCCTCATAGATTAGTTTTGAATAAATAGTGCTCGGAGCCTAGAAGAGAGAAACCCATAGCACTGGCCCAAGGCAGAGAGATACCACAAAAGAGCCTTCTCTTGGATTCTCAATCACTATCCTGCTTGTTTTAGTTTGCACCATCTTCGACTGATTGTGTTACCTGCTTTCTAGGGACCTAGTGTCCTGATGTTGTGGTAGAGCTTCTATTCTTTCTATAGTGTTTTTTTACTAGTTAGATCATTTGCTCTAGATTTCAATGGATTAACTAAATTTTTTTTTTAAAAAAAATTATGATTCTTCTAACTTTTACAGATCTTAATTGGACTAATTAAATCTTTTGTAATCACTTATGTAAGAACTACTAGGTGGAACTCTATTTCTGCTCGGTTCGTGGTTGTCAAGCATTGACATTATCTTGACATCCACACCCTTATTTTCCTTTTTTGTGATTTTCAATATGTTTTACTTTTATTTCTTAGTTTAAAATTCATAAAAAAATCATATTCTTTGAAAAAAAAATTAAAATATTACTTGATATAATATTACATCCCTATGACTCACTTAATTTTTTTTTATTTTAAAACATTTATTGAATTATAAGTGATTTATTTGTTCAAAAATACTTTTAAATTTTCAAATTTTGATATTTTTTAATTTTATAAATTTTAAATTAACTATACAATGACTAAGTCATGTCATGCACTTAGTTTTAATTTCTCTTATTACATAGTTCAGTCAATTTAAGGTGAGCTATAATTCTCAAAAGGACATGATTCATAAATGAGCTCATATCACATTATGTGCAAGAGAAGAAAGGTTGAAATAAGGTAGAGATGAGAGTGCTTATTTGGCCATGACTTCTAAAATCAAAATAAAAAAAAGACCTATGGTCAATGAAGCTGTAGGTGGACCACTACTAAAGAAATAACAAATGAAGTAAAATAAAGAATTTACTTATTTCTTTTATAAGTATAGTGGCCACATGAAGAAGTATTATATCAAGTATCATGCTTGACAGATTAAGAAAAGTGACCTTCTCACTTTGGTTTGTCTAGAAATTAATTTAACTTTTCTACCTTTGTACACATGGTAGATAGATTCTGGTGTTACTATTCACATGTGTGTCTATGTAGGATTGACTCTATTATCATAAGTCAATTGATGATGAAAGATACATCTATTTGGGTGATAAGTCTTCATATCATGAGTTAATAATTAGTAAATAATATAGTTTTAGCCTTAACTCATGATAAATAGACTTATATTTGTGGTAAAGAATGATTTTTGGTTTTCAATTGATTAACGTGAATTTTTGGGTAATTATGTGATTTTATACGATTTTTACAGTCTTACTTTTGAGATAAATGAAGAATAAGAAATACAAATAAAAATAAAAATATTGCAAAAATGGGGGGACCCGCCGGCCAGCCGTGCCCGCAAGCGGGTCGGAAGCGCAGTCGGGGAGTTAGCCGCGAGCAGGGGCTTGAGCGGCTTGGCTTGGGGACCGACAGGCACGCGTACGCCACACCCCTTCCACGTCACTGGTGGTCAGCCGGCTGTGGGGCAAGGAGTAGTCATACACGCGAGAGAAGGGACTTTGCTCACAAAGCTAAGATTACTATATATTCGCCCGAAAAATCGGCGTACAATCGATGTGGGACTAAACCCCCGTCACACCTTCCTCAGAAGAGGCGGGCGACCGGCACGGGTTCGAATCCTTCTAGAGTCAAAATTCATATATTTTTATTTGATTATCACGACTTTCCTGCAGATCGCCGGTGAAGGATTAAGCAACGAGAATCGCTGGATCATCGGCGAAAATCTCGTCAACGCGATTCGCCGAGCATTGCTACTAAAATTGCTAAACGATTCGTGATAAAAGGATTGCGAATCCATCGAGTAAATCATCTCCGATTGATCGACAAACAAGCCGTCGTCGGGAAGAGGATGATCTGCCGGGAGACCAGTCACCACCTCCTGAGAATGTACCAGATGCGATGAAGAGCCTCCTCTTGCTGCACGGACCTAAGGATGAAGCTCCCTAACACGTGCCTCACCTCCATCTAGCTCCTCTCCGTCGGGTGACAGCCGCTGGAGAGCCGCAAAGTCGCCGTTTTTCCGCTCTGCCAGGTGACAGCCGCCGGAGACGATTCGACGACCCACTTCATTGATCTCTAGACTTCACGAGAAGATCTAGAGATTGCCCACGTCGTCTTTGTCCAAGGAGAGCCTTCGAGGCCGTGGACACTACACAACGATCCTCCCGAACGCTCAAGATTCCGGTGCATCGTCGACGCATCGCCGTCGCGACGCCAGAACTCTGTTTTCCTACTTTCAATTTAATTTACGCTTTATTTAGTGATACTTTGTGTGATTTTAATTTCCCAAACTATACTTCGTTAAATTACGATTCTTCCGGCTTTTACAGATCTTAATTTGATTAATTAAGTCGTCTGTAATCGCTTACGTAAGAATCATTGGGTGGAACTCTATTTCCGCCTGATTCGCATTCGCCGGGCGCTGACGTCATCCTGACACTTGCACCCTTATTTCCTTTTTTTTCGTGAATTTTAAATATATTTCCTTTTTATTTCCTAGTACAAAATTTGTAAGAAAATCGTATTCATTGAGAAAAATTCTGAATAATTACCAGATATTATATTAAATCCCTGTAATTGACCTGGAAAATTACCGCTATTTTTGGAATTTTATTGAATTATAATTGATATATTTATTTTGAAATACTTCTAAATATCCGAAAATTCGTATTTTCTAGTTTAATAAATTTTATATTTGCGTGATTTAACATACAACGACTAAGTCACGTCATTGGGTAATGCAATATAGTAGCGATGGAGGGAATAAGGACCTTCTAGATGGAATTTGATTTTTATTTTTAATTTAGATAAATTTAGTTATGATTGTCTATTTAGAAATAAAAATTTTAGTTTCTTTGACAATTCAAATCATATTAGTATTGGCTTTATCAAGTTATGATAACTTATACTTACTTGACATAATAATCAGTTCTAATGTAATCTTACATATCAGTTTAAGAAGTATGAAAAGAAAATTAATCAATGAGAATTTTACTTGATTATAGCACAAGAGATTAAGTTATATTTGTAAAAAAAATTGATCGACTCATATCTAATGAAATTTTTGACCCACTTGATTATAAAGATTTTGACACGTGTTGAATGTATCAAAGAGAAAAGAATAAACATAAAGAAAATAAGTACCAATCGAGTTTCAAATATTTTATAATTAATATATATGGATATTTGTGGACCATTTGCTACAACCTCTTAGAATGGTCAATAATATTTTATTATATTCATAGATGATTATTTTCAAATTGACTATTTATATTTTATTTATGAGAAGTCATAATCACTAAATGTGTTCAAGAAATATAAGACCGAAGTTGAGAATCAACTTAATAAATAGATTAATCAAATCAGACCATGGTGATGAATATTATGATAGATATGATGCATCAGCTGAATAATATCTAAGATGTTTCACTAAATTTCAAGAGGAGTGTGGTATCCATAAGATGTTTCCTGTGGCCAACAATTGCCCAATTGATCGTGGCCATCGTTGTGATGAGGTGCGTCGCGGTGACATAGATTCCCTCGATGATGATCGTGATCGAGGTACTAGTGATCATATGGATCACTATAGGGGCTCACAGGCCAGCAGGGCTCGCAATGCTCTTGATATACTTGTGTAACAGGTGGTGTGGTCGGTGGTGCAACCAAATATGCAACTAGTAGTGGAGCCAGTGGTGCAAAGGTAGCTCACTCCAGATGCTCAATAGCCTAGGTCATGTTATACATGACATCATCTAGGAGGGAGCACGCTCCATCCCTCGAAGGGTACCGAGGTGAAGGTTGCCAGCAGCCACCTCTACTACAACCCCTAGTACTCTTAAGTGGATAGTAGGGCACGGATTCCTTCCCAGCTCGGCAGCTCGTAACCACAGGTGGCTAGGGCCACCCTGATGCCTCCCCGACCGACATAGGGCCCGGAGTCTTCTAGGGTCGAGAGGGGTCTAGTATCAAATCCGTCGATCTCGACAAAGATGGTGGACTCATGTCCACTCTAGCTACTTGGAGAGTGGTGGGATCTAAGGCCTCGTGCAAGTGCCGTGATGATGGTGAACCTCCTCGAGCTCTAGCTAAGCATGTCTCTACCATGACTAGGTCCTATGAGTGCCTAGATGCCAATGTAATCCTATATGAATGGTTTACTAGTGGTATGGAAGCTCAGTGAGCGTTTTCAGGAAACTGAGGTTAGGTGGTAACCCAACCTAGCTCTAATACCAATTTGATGCAAGACAGGGCGAGATCCTTGTACTTGATCAATGAAACTCAAGATCCGAATGGGGTAGTTGGACCAATCCGGTCAGAATGTATGGACCCTAGACTTTAGGTTTGACCACATAACTTAAGGTGTACCAATATCCATGATCAACCTAGGACGACCCAAAGAAACACTCAACAATGGTAAGTGTGAGGCCCTCTTGGTCCACGTCTGGATAGACGGCAGAATGGTCGTCGTGAAGTAGCCTAGGACTACAGCTTAGGAATGATGACGAGTCTGGTGTAGCGTCAAAAGTCACGATCCGATAACCCGTCCTATCTTGTCTACGTTCTCTTGATGGCAGTAGAAACGAGCCGAGAAAACCCTTCGAAAGATAATTAAACTTAAGAGGAAGGGGTACAGAGCTAACCTTCGGGCTGCGTAGCCCGATGGGTCATGACGGAGCGGAGACTCGACGTAAGTAGAGACATCTAGTAAAGAGCGATGCTCAGCATCGATAGTCGGTCCTAGTCGAGAGTCACCATAGTCATCATCGTAAGATGTGGCACGATCGGATCAAGAGTGGGCCTATTGGTGGGCCAAAGGGCATGCTAGCAGATGTGCACGGCAAGCTGTGCAGCGTGTCTCAGGGCACGCAGGCAGCGGCGCCTGATGGGTGCACGGGTTGTGGGTGCAGGCATGTAGGATGTGTGTAGTGCTGACACTTTTGCGAGAATGCCGAGTGTCAGCGGTGCTTTGGCGAGAGTGCTGAGCATCGACAACGCTTCAGCAGGAATGCCGAGCATCGGCAGTTGGGCAGAAGCCCAATTGTCACCAGAAGGATCGGCCTTCTCTAACGGCACCGAGAAGCGGAGTAGAGGATGGAGGTGATTTGGCCAACAATACTAGGGAGGGTTGAGCCCTCCTAGTCTCGGCAGTGCTGGAAACAACACGACGGCAACAAATCATCGAGAAACTCCGGTAGGTGCCTGTGAGGAGCTTGGATTTGATTTGGCTCGTCAGCATGGCAGCAAGGTCTCTCTCGATGTCGGCGGTAGGTAGGCATTCGTCGGTGAGCGGCTAGCGATTGGGCGGAGTGGTGAATGGCGACTCCGGTGAGTTTATGGTGGAGTTCTGAAGGAAGAGGTGGCAATCGTCGAGAGACTCTAGCGGAGTGCTCAGCAATGGCTCGTAGGAAGGTGAAGTAAGTCCCTTTCATCATGACGGCATGATGAGGTTCCAACTAAGGCGGCAGTGGCTGCAGTAGCAACCGCGACCATTTCGTCTAGTGACGGCAGTGATCTCACGAGAAGCAATGAAGATGTCTAGCGGCAGTAGTGGTCTTAGGCAATAATAAGACTTCTCAGGTAGTAGTTGATAAGTCTTCATTATCATGAGTTAATAATTAGTAAATAATATAGTTTTAGCCTTAACTCATGATAAATAGACTTATATTTGTATTAAAGAATGATTTGTGGTTTTTAGTTGATTAACGTGAATTTTTGGGTAATTATGTGATTTTATATGATTTTTATAGTCTTACTTTTGAGATAAATGAAGAACAAGAAATAAAAATAAAAATATTGCAAAATGGGGGACCCGCCGGCCAGCCGGGCCCGCAAGCGGGTCGAAAGCGCAGTCGGGGAGTAGCCGCGAGCAAGGGCTCGAGCGGCTTAGCTTGGACTGATAAGGGCTTGATAGGGACACATGTGCTTCACTCCCCTTCCACGTCACTAGTGGCCAGCCGACTGTGGGACAAGGAGTGGTCGTACACGTGAGAGAAGGACTTTGCTTACAAAGCTAACATTACTATATATTCGCCAGAAAAAAGCGGCACACAACCAATGTGGGACTAAACTGCGTCACACCTTCCTCACAGGTAGGCGACCGGCGCAAGTTTAAATCCTCCTAGAGTCAAAATTCATATATTTTTATCTGATTATCGTGACTTTCTTGCAGATCGCCAGTGAAGGATTAAGCAACGAGAATCACTAGATCATTGGCGAAAATCTCGTCAATGCGATTCGTGGAGCATTGCTACTAAAATTGCTGAATGATTCCCGATAAAAAGATGCAAATCTATCAAGTAAATCATCTCCGATTGATTGATGAACAAGCCATCATCGGGAAGAGGACGATCTGGCGAGAGATGAGTCACCACCTCCTTAGAGCGTACGAAATGCGATGAAGACCTCCTCTTGCTGTGCGAACTTAAGGATGAAGCTCCCTAACATGCGCCCCACCTCCATCCAGCTCCTCTCTATCGGGTGACAGCTGCCGGAGAGCCGCAAAGTCATCATTTTTCCACTCTATCAAGTGACAGCTGTCGGAGACGATTCGACAACCCACTTCATTGATCTCTAGACTTTGTGAGAAGATCTAGAGATTGCCCACGTCGTCTTTGTCTAATGAGAGCCTTCGAGGCCGTGGACACTACACGATGATCCTCCTGAACACTCAAGATTCTGATGCATCGCTGACGCATCGCCGTCGTGACACCAGAACTTTGTTTTCTTACTTTCAATTTACTTTACGCTTCATTTAGTAATAACTTTTGTGTTTTTAATTTACCAAAATATACTTTGTTCTACTACAATTCTTCTGGCTTTTATAGATCTTAATTTGATCAATTAAGTCATCTGTAATCGCTTATGTAAGAATCGTCGGGTGGAACTCTATTTTCGCCTGATTCGCACTTGCCAGGCACTGACGTCATCCTGACGTCCACACCCTTATTTCCCTTTTTCGTGAATTTTAAATATATTTCCTTTTTATTTCCTAGTATAAAATTCATAGAAAATCGTATTCATTGAGAAAAATTCTGAATAATTACCAGATATTATATTACATCCTTGTGATCGACTTGGAAAATTATTACTATTTTTTTAAGTTTTATTAAATTATAATTGATATATTTATTTAGAAATACTTCTAAATATCCAAAAATTCATATTTTCTAGTTTTATAAATTTTATATTTACATGATTTAATATACAACAACTAAGTCACGTCAAATTTTGGTGCCGTTGCTAGAGATGTATTACATAATATTTAGTATTTTTCTATTTTTCTCTTAGAGTACACAAAAAACAAAATTAACTCTTGTTTTATTTTCTTTTTGCTGATTTTTTATTAGAAAAAGGGAATGAAAAGAAGCAAGACAAGGACTGGAGCATTTTGAAGGAAGGTAACAGTTACTAAATTTTTCCCTCAAATTTATTAATTTTTATGCATGGTAGAAGATCCTTGCATCCAAGGTTAGAAAATCCTTTCATTATTTCATTCAAAAATAAAAATTCGAAAGAAAAATTAATTTTGATGGATCCTGAAGGAAGTACAGATCAAACTGAGAACAATCTGATGATCATGAAAAATCATTATATCCCTGATTCATTTCAAAGAGCATCTAATATTAGAGTCCCATTAGTACCCACTGTTAAATTTGAAATAAATCTAAGAATTTTTCAAATGCTCCCTAATTTTCATAAATTGCCTTTAGAGGAACCTCATCAGCACTTAGAATGAAAGGAAATTATTAATTTTTAGAGAAAATTTCATATGGTCTATAATTTAGTTAATCTCCCTCAAATTACATTGGAAATTATTAAGATAAAATTATTCCCTCATACACTTAGGGACAAAGCTAGTAATTGGCTATCCACATTAGATAAAAAATTAACTAGCTGGAAATACATAGAACAAGCCTTTCTTCAAAAATTTTATCCCTTAGGGAAAACTCAAAATATGAGAAAACATATATGGAGTTTTTCTCAAAGACTAGGAGAAACTTTACATGAGACATGGAAAACATTCAAAGATTTACTTAGAAAATGTCCTCATCATACTATACCCAAGTGACAGCTCAATAGAATTTTTTATGATGGATTATTAGAACAACATAGAAATATGGTTGATTCTATATGTGAAGGAACTTTTATGGAGGAAACCCCTGATGAGATTTACAGTCTTTATGAGAATTTAAGTGAAAATTCGAGAGATCAAACCTTTTTTAAATTATATGACAAGGAAATGAAGAGAGAAATTTATGAATTGCATCATGATGATAATTCTAAACTTAGAAATGAGGTTAATCAGATTAATTAAAGATTAGAAAAACTTGATTTACTTATTGACAATATTACAAAGACTCTTAACCCTCAATTTAATTCAAATAGTACACGCCCTACATATAGTGAAAATGATCATTTTGAATTTCAATATCATCCTAAGCAAAAACAAGTGTAAGTACCTCACGATTTTAGTAAAAATTGGGAATATTTTTCTAACTCTTATAATCCTAATTGGGGGAATAATTTTTCGTGGAGAAACCAAAATAATATTCAAAATCCAGAAGTACTTAAATCCAATTCAAACTCTAAATTTCGTCTAAAACAAGAAAACAAATTTCAGAAAAATCAGCCCTCTCAAACCCAACATGCTATTATATAAATAATGCAGCAAATGAACCAAATGATGTAACAAACTATAAATCAAATGATGTTGCATCAGAAACAAATTATAGAGACTCTTGAGAATAAGAGAGAAGAGGGACAGCTACCTAGTCAGCCTATAGAAAATTCAGGAAACTGTCCAATAGTAAGATTTTAGCAAGAAGAGTCTAGCTGGATAAATTTAGAAAAAACCCATGAAATGAAAATGTTAGGACAGTGAATACATTGAGTGAGAATATTTTACTTGATCCTTATTTCTAATTACTAGAAGAAATTGATGATCCATTAGAAGTAAATAAGAATATTAAGGCCAAAAATATAGTAGTAGAAAATTTGAATAAAATCATTTATTGCTCACAATTGATGAATGAATATAGTGAGGATGATGAGGAGAAAGAGTCCTTAGATGAAGAAACAGCAACTGATCATAGAAAAATCATCCAAATTTTAGTAGAAGGGAGTAAAGACAGAAATGAAGAAAAATATATTTCAGGTGAGGAAAAATCAATTGATTTGGGAGATGTAAGAGACGAAATTAATGAATCTAATCATAATTTTGTAGCCATAGATGTTGATTGTGAGGATGATGATGTATATCATATACCAAAATTAAAAGATAGCTCTTAGAAAGATGAAGAATTTGATGAGTTGAGAAACGAAAAACTAGAAAAAAAATTGATTCAACTAATGGGAACAAACGAAAATAATAGATATGAATATAGAGATAATTTTGGAGGAGAAAATTTGAATTTTACTGAATTCATTAGATCTAAGATTAAAGAAGACAATCCTTCCATCCTTCAAAACCCACAGCCCATTAGAATTATTTATAAGCTTGAAATATTTCACTCCTCACAAATTAAATAAATATATATGGAAGATAAAATACAGCAGGGGAAGATTATGCAGATAAAAGAAGACATTAAGAAATGGGTGAGTGGAAGAATTAGAGATACCAATTTAGATGAAAAAAATTTAGATTGGGCAAGAGCTAATTTGAAAATTATATGGCCTAATCACATTTTATGGTTTATTAATAGAAAGTATTTATTAATGAATGAGAGCCTAACAAAATAAGATTGAAATAAGGAAAGATTCTTTTCAAAATGGAAATATTATTTTTGGAAATTTTTTGTTAATTTCTATTTTGTTTTGGCTGAAAGTATGTCTAGGTATATATATGAAGTATATGAATTTATGCTAAATCTGAAAAAGAATATCATGAAACTTACCTTGGGATACAAATATATTTTGATGGCCATAGATCATCTTATATGATATAAGAGTTGTCCAATTGGAGACATTAAATGCAGCACTACATGGGAGGCAACCCATGGTTTTTATTTCATTCTTTTTTATTTTTTTTAAGCTCTATTTTTCTTAAAATTTCGTAATACTTGTTTTTGTATTTGTTTTTTCAAAAAAGTGCAAAAGGAGGAGTGTAAGATGAAGTGAAAAATTAAAAATGAGGTTGAGGTGATGTCTTTCTGAGCTTCATCATTTATGAAAAGACTTTTAATGTTTAACTTTGCAGATATGCATGCTTCACTTGAAAATTATATTTTCTGTATATTCTGTTTCGATTTTTCTGTGTCATTGAGGACAATGTCATTTTTAAGTTGGGGGGTGAAGTATTCATTATTAATTTATGCTGTAGGACGATTATTAATAGGTGTTTGTATTTTATTCAACTTAGAACAGCAACTAAAAAAATAAAAATAAAGTAAATTCAGAAAAACTACAACATCTATTTTCTAGTTTTCTGTTAGAGACAACAGACTGTCAAAAAAAGCAGACAAAAAATAGCTTGAAATTTGAAATTCTAGAAGATCCTTTTTTCACATTTCAATCCCCTAGATATATATTACTGAAATTTGAAATTACAGCTATAAAGAAGATAGTTTTGATTTATTTTTGAAAATTTTATTACTGCTAAAAATAGAACTGAAAATAGAAAACGGAACTGTCAGAATTATCTAATTTACAAATTCCTTATATCATATTGCATGCATGAAAAATTAAACCAATTAGATTGATTGATACCAAAAGATACTAAGAAGATTATTATTGAGTCAAAAGAATGATCTAGTAGCATGAAATGTTGGAATACTCCTTGGATACATGATAGATAACATGGATTTGATTTTACAAATTTTCACTTCATGATCTTGATGGATAGTATTTACTTGATGTGAAAATTTGATTGATCATTTGAGTTTAATGGAGATTTTTGCACCCTGATCTAAAGGACTTGTGAGGAGAAATCACTTATTTCGAAAAAAAAAGAGAGAGCAATGTGAAAAATCTAGAAACGAAGAGTACACATGGAGGGTGTGAGACATCATTCTCATTGTCAAAAATCGTGCATAGAAAAACACTTGCTGAAAAATAAGTGGATAAAGTGAAAGCCCTAAAAATGAAGAGTACACATGGAGGGTGTGAGACATCATTCTTATTGTCGAAATTTGTCTATAGGAAAAGCTACTTATCTACTATATATATATAAAAAAAAAGAAGGAAGAAATATAGTACAAACTTCAAAAATCAAGTCATAGAAAAAGGAAAATATAAGATTAATATTATTCTTAGATGAGTATTGATAATTGGAACATCTTGTAAATACATCTATAAGTGAAGAAGTGATAAAGATGTGAATAGAAGAAGTGAAGTCTAGATTGTTATTCCAAGGAGTGTTTAAACATTTAAGTGCTTGACATCATTCTTAAATACTTGATATAAGAATCCAAAGTGTTTAAAAGTGTATCATTTCTAATTATATATTTTTTTTCTGTATTAAAATATGATGTTTGAGATTTGTAAAATTTTATTTTCGTAATTCTATTGTTAAGGGATTAGCAATGATTTAAGTTGGGGGGTGTGATAAGTCTTCATTATCATGAGTTAATAATTAGTAAAAAATATAGTTTTAGCCTTAACTCATGATAAATAGATTTATATTTGTGTTAAAGAATGATTTGTGGTTTTTAATTAATTAACGTGAATTTTTGGGTAATTATGTGATTTTATATGATTTTTACAGTCTTATTTTTGAGATAAATGAAGAACAAGAAATGAAAATAAAAATATTGCAAAATAGGGGACCCGCCAACCAGCCAGGCCCGCAAGCAGGTCGGAAGCGTAGTCGAAGAGTAGCCGCGAGTAGGGGCTCGAGCGGCTTAGCTTGGACCAATAGGGGCTCAATAGGGACATGTGTGCGCCACTCTCCTTCCACGTCACCAGTGGCCAACTAGCTGTGGGACAAGGAGTGGTCATACACGCGAGAGGACTTTGCTTACAAAGCTAACATTACTATATATTCACCTGAAAAATCAGCGCACAACTGATGTGAGACTAAACCCGCATCACACCTTCCTCACATGCGAGCAACCGGCGCAGGTTTGAGTCCTCCTAGAGTCAAAGTTCATATATTTTTATTTGATTATCGTGACTTTCTTGCAGATCGCCAGTGAAGGATTAAGCAATGAGAATCACTAGATCATCGGCGAAAATCTCATCAATGCAATTTGCAGAGCATTGCTACTAAAATTGCTGAACAATTCACGATAAAAGGATCGCGAATCCATTGAGTAAATCATCTCCGATTGATCAACTAACAAGCCATCGTCGGAAAGAGGACGATCCGTCGGGAGACGAGTCGCCACCTCCTGAGAGCATACCAAATGCAATGAAGAGCCTCCTCTTGCTGTGCGGACCTAAGGATGAAGCTCTCTAACACGCGCCCCACCTCCATCCAGCTCCTCTCTGTCGAGTGACAGCCACTGGAGAGCCGCAAAGTTGTCATTTTTTTACTCCGCCAGGTGACAGCCGCCGAAGACGATTCGACGACCCACTTTATTGATCTCTAGACTTTGCGAGAAGATCTCGAGATTGCCCACATCGTCTTTGTCCAAGGAGAGCCTTTGAGGCCATAGACATTACACGACGATCTGCCCAAACGCTCAAGATTCTGGTGCATCACCGACGCATTGCCGTCGCGACGCCAGAACTCTATTTTCCTACTTTCAATTTACTTTACGCTTCATTTAGTGATAATTTTTGTGTTTTTAATTTATCAAAATATACTTTGTTCTATTACAATTCTTCTGACTTTTACAGATCTTAATTTGATCAATTAAATCATCTATAATCACTTATGTAAGAATCGTCAGGTGAAACTTTGTTTATGCTTGATTTGTGCTTGTCGAGCGTTGACATCATCTTGATGTCTGCACCCTTATTTCCCTTTTTCGTGAATTTTAAATATATTTCCTTTTTATTTCCTAGTATAAAATTTATAGAAAATCGTATTTGTTGAGAAAATATCTGAATAATTACCAGATACTATATTACATCCTTGTGATCGACTTGGAAAATTGCCACTATTTTTGAAATTTTTATTTAGTTATAATTGATACATTTATTTAGAAATACTTCTAAATATCTATAAATTTGTATTTTTTAGTTTTATAAAATTTATATTTACGTGATTTAATATACAACGACTGAGTCACTTTAGCAGCATAACAAGGAACGAAGTCCTCGAAGAAGGTATTGACGGCCTTCCTCTTCCTCCTTTCCTCCCTATCCTAGATCATAGAGAAGGTACTCACAAAATGATAATCTCTCTCAAAAATACGGCGCTCTCTTGAAGGGAGGTCCTACCTCCCTTTATATGGGGGCCCACAAGTGGGTTAAGGGAAAGTGGGCCCACTTGAGGCCCTCAAGCCCATAAGCCACAAAAAGGCTACAAAAGGGGCTTATTGTGCCTCTAAAAGAGAAACCCAATAAGCTCTCCTAAAAGGAGAAAGAAGAGGGCCCTCGTATAGTGCTTAAGTGGGCCTCAAATGAAGGCCCAAATAAGCTCCAAAAGAAGCCCGAAAGAAAAGAAGCATAGGTCCCCCCCCCTTAGGGTTTTAATTGGGCCTCAAAAGAGAGACTTAATAAAACCCTAAAGAAAGAGAGACACAAACAACAACACACACATAGAATTAGGCCTGCTAACACACAAATGTGAGGCCCAACAAGTCAACGTGAAAATACAAAGAAAAATAAGGGTGAGCTCGAGCTTGTTGTTGTCACAGAGGTGGAATGTCATTATCATGAAGGGCTAGGCCATGTAGTGAAAGCTAGGCTCCTTCATCTTCACACTTTGATTGGGCTGAACTCGGACTGCCGGTGTCTCTTGAGCTAATGAAGACAGGTCCTACTTGTCATCACTATGGACACCACGAAAATCCTTTTGAATGCTCAGGATTCTTGTGTGTCGTTAATACATCACCACCATGATGTCGAAACTTTATTTTCCTACTTTCAACATAATTTCTACTTCATTTAGTGATACTTTATGTGATTTAAATTTATGAAACTATACTTCATTCAATTATAATTATTTCGACTTTTACAAATCTTAATTTGATCAATTAAATCATTTGTAATCACTTACGTAAGAATCGTCATGTGGAACTCTATTTTTGTCCAATTTGCATTCATTAGGTGCTGATGTCATCTTGATGTCCTCACCCTTATTTCCCTTTTTCATGAATTTTTAATATATTATATTTTTATCTCATAGTATAAAATTTATAAAAAATTATATTCTTTGAGAAAATTTTTGAAAACTTACTTGATATTAGATTACATCTCTTAATCAATTTGAAAAATTATTATTATTATTAGAAGTTTTATTAAATTAAAATTGATATATCTATTTAGAAATATTTCTAAATATCTGAAAATTAGTATTTTTTCTAGTTTTATAAATTTTAAATTTACGTAATTACTATACAACAACTAAGTCATGTCAACGACCTTCTACCTTAAATGAGAGTGGCAAGCCTCAACATCTCTAGTAGGGTATCCTTCTTGTCCAAGCTTGTTCCCTACATCACCATCTAGAAGAACCTTGACTCTAGAAAGTCTAATGAGTGTTCTGCAATAGGGGCAAATAAAAATTTAAGTATTAATTAAGTTACCTACTACAATTGTGACATTCTAAAAGAACTATGCACAAAAAACACTTTGTTTGAATAAAAGCAAGATTAATAAGTACTAAAATAAGAAATCATGTAAATATTTAAAGTAGTAATCTTAACTTTTGTTCTTGTTGATTCTTACATGTCATGAGATATGCAAACCTACCACATCTTCTATCATAATGCCTATGATTTCTAGGTCCAACCTTTTGCTTTTTGCTCATGATTTCTTGCTCTATAATTTTCTTTCAATAAAACCTTTAGGTAGGGTTTGATAGAAATTTAAAGTTGGCAATATATCAAGCTGCTCCTCTACAAGAGGCAAAATATTGATATAATATGCCTCATTTTCTACTTAACAATAAAATAGGCACAATTAAACAAGCTGGCAATACTAAGTTACTGTATGTTAATGATAAATGTTGGAGTGTACTTGTGAGAAAATCATGACAACCATCAATTATTATGTGTGCAAGACTTTTTATCATAGCCCCCCATGTCATGAAAAATATTTACTCACCTTGTGCCAATCATTTGGTTCCAAAAAATTTAATGGCACAAGAATTGGCTCACTTCTTCCACCTAATTTAATGAATATGTAATAGTTTTGTCTTTGTATCATGTGGAATTCTAATATCTTATCTCAAAATTACCATTATTTGTAGTGAATAATTTTAACAATATCAACAACAAGAAAATATCTTAACAACCAAAAGAATGTATTTCACAACTGGCTTAAATTATTAGTGATTTAGATTTGTATTGTCAATCTAATAACTAATGTGGACTTAGAATGCATTTCACAATAGGCTTAAATTATTAGTGATTTTGATTTGTATTATCAGTCTAATACCTAATGTGAAATGTAGAAATATCCTATCTACATTAAAGATACCCACATGAGGTTGTCATTGATATCTTGCCAATTTTTATGAAGTTAATTAAAGGTTCAAATGATACTTATTGATGATGAAATGTTAGTGTCAATCTTTTATGTCAATGGACTAGATCATTTATTTATTTCAAGAGTGCTACTATCAATGTGAGTAATCTCTTGACTATTAAAACTACAAAATATAATCATGATTTGATGAAGTGCTCATATGAGTCTTCTCCAAGTGATAGATGCTAGGAATATTGAGTAAATTGACATATTTATTGCATTGGGGGGATAACCTTTAGAATATCATGGTAAATAGTTTTTAGTGTTGGATAGACTAACTTTATTTCATAAATAAGAGGAATCCTTCTGTATTGTACTAATAATCAATAACATAGAGAAAAAAGTGCTGAAATAACAACAGTATAATGAGATTTTAATGAATCATCCTTGGAATTTAATTATAATGTAGATATGAAAATGAAAGGGGTTGTTAATGCCTCATTTTTGGCTATACCATAATACATTTAGAATACTATTGATGAACGTCATTCCCATCAATGAGGATGGATGGGGAAGGAATTTGGAAATAAGCACACTTGGGAGGGTAATAAGAGAAGAGGGAGTTTAAAGGCCAATGTGTAAAAGAAGAGGGGTTCAATGAAACAAATGTAGGCCAAGGTGGACCCAAAATACTAGGTTACAACCCAAATAATTGTGAATTATTTGAAATTATAGCTCTATTCTGATGGGTATATTATTGATCACTTAAAATCTTATAATCGTAATAATATGATGATTATGTAAATAATGGAGGAGATATTGATAACCATTGAAAGTGCTAAAAAAATATTTATCAGCATAATTAAACCTCCATCTTTAATTTTTAAAATTAACGAAATCCTAATTAAAAAGTCCCATTTCCCCATTTCCATGAACCCATATCGAGTTTACTCTCACCAAAAATCTCCAAGCTTATTAACATCTAGATAGAGTCTGAACATGGCTAGAGCATAGTTCCATAATGGATATCGTTCGTAAAGACGAGGAATCTGGACCACCCATCAAATGGACCCACCCCTTGCACCTGGTAGGGAGGGGCCACAGCGACGACTTCCCCTATTCTTCTTCCATACCCAAGACCAATTGATCCAGTGAGACCGGGTTCGGCGACCGAGTCATCGCGGGATCGGACGATCTCATTTACGCGGTAAAAAAAGGACATAAGTACTATTTCACAGAGTAGTTTCCCATTCTAGTCAATTTAATTTCACCAGGCGGTTCTCCCGAACAAATCCGGTTCCAGGTAAGCGAACACGGTGGTGATTCGAAATTCGAATCACGCCCGGTTCCCGAGGAGAGGAGCGAATCGAGACCGTCCATTTCAAATTTCAAAAAAATCGCGATTTCCTCTCTCCTCCTTGCAACGGTCACTTTCCCCTCTCCCTCTTCTTTTTATTGACCCTCCCTTCTCGCCCAGCTCCGATTTCTTCATCGCCCTCTCCTCTCTGCTACTTCTCAGAGCGTCTCTGCCCTTGTTCGTCATCTTCTACGGTTCTGCGGCGGCGAGGGACAATGAGGGAGTGCATCTCGATCCACATTGGCCAGGCCGGCATCCAGGTCGGGAACGCCTGCTGGGAGCTGTACTGTCTCGAACATGGCATTCAGGTCTGTTTCTCCCTCCCTATTTTGTCCTGATTTATGCCAGACCATCAGGAGCGGAAGATTTCCTTATCCTTGTGGTTCGATTTCGTAGCCGGACGGGCAGATGCCGAGCGACAAGACAGTTGGCGGCGGAGACGACGCCTTCAACACCTTCTTCAGCGAGACGGGAGCTGGGAAGCACGTCCCCCGGGCGGTCTTCGTCGATCTCGAGCCCACCGTGATCGACGAGGTCCGCACAGGGGAGTACCGCCAGCTGTTCCACCCGGAGCAACTCATCAGCGGCAAGGAGGACGCCGCGAACAACTTCGCCCGTGGCCACTACACGATCGGCAAGGAGATCGTCGATCTGTGCCTCGATCGGATCCGCAAGCTCGCGGACAACTGCACGGGCCTCCAGGGATTCCTAGTTTTCCACGCCGTCGGCGGTGGGACCGGATCGGGCCTCGGATCGCTGCTACTGGAACGCCTCTCCGTCGATTACGGAAAGAAGTCCAAGCTAGGGTTTACGGTCTACCCGTCCCCGCAAGTCTCCACCTCCGTGGTCGAGCCCTACAACAGCGTGCTCTCTACTCACTCTCTTCTGGAGCACACCGACGTCGCCGTCCTCCTCGACAACGAGGCGATCTACGACATCTGCCGTAGGTCGCTGGACATCGAGCGCCCCACGTATACCAACCTGAACCGCCTGGTCTCGCAGGTGATCTCCTCCCTCACCGCTTCCCTGCGCTTCGACGGCGCCCTCAACGTGGACGTTACAGAGTTCCAGACCAACCTCGTCCCCTACCCTCGCATCCACTTCATGCTCTCCTCCTACGCCCCCGTGATATCCTCGGAGAAGGCTTACCACGAGCAGCTCTCGGTTGCGGAAATCACCAACAGCGCCTTCGAGCCCTCGTCAATGATGGCAAAGTGCGATCCCCGCCATGGAAAGTACATGGCCTGCTGCCTGATGTACCGCGGTGACGTCGTCCCCAAGGACGTCAATGCCGCCGTGGCCACCATCAAAACCAAGCGGACGATCCAGTTCGTGGACTGGTGCCCAACTGGGTTCAAGTGCGGGATCAACTACCAGCCGCCGACGGTGGTTCCCGGCGGCGACCTCGCCAAGGTCCAGCGTGCGGTGTGCATGATTTCCAATTCCACCAGTGTCGCAGAGGTCTTCTCCAGGATCGACCACAAGTTCGACCTCATGTACGCGAAAAGGGCCTTCGTCCACTGGTACGTCGGCGAGGGCATGGAGGAGGGGGAGTTCTCCGAGGCCCGGGAGGACCTCGCCGCCCTGGAGAAGGACTACGAGGAGGTCGGCGCCGAGTCTGCAGAGGGCGAAGACGACGACGGAGAGGAGTACTGACTGTACGTTCCCCAATCGTAGACAAGACTCTTTTCCTTCTGTGAACTCTCTCGTTCTCGAGTTCTCTGAAGTATGAAATTTCCGTCTGTTTCTCTTCCTTGTTCATCTCACCCGGCCCACTATGTTTCTGGGCCAAACTGGCAACCCACAACCATCGTGAGGTCAGCGTCAGACTACGTTAGCTGACTTGCGCCGCACTCTTCCATGGGGGGTGACGTGGATGCGCCACAACTCGACAGATCTCACCCTTCCCTTATTCCGTTCCCTATTCCGATTCCTGTTCTGTTCCCATCCATATCCGCTGCCCACTCTCGGGGAGAGATAGCGACAAAGTGAAGAGATAGAGAGAGAGAGAGGCCGCTATTATTGACCAAATTGGGGGAGGCAAGTGCGGGGTGATGAGTGTGGGCGAGGCCATTCCCGCTGTCGAGGAAAGAGAACCGGGCGACGTGGAAAGTTTGGGAGTGAGAGAAAGAGAGAGAGGAGAAGAGAACTGGAGCTTTGCAGTAACGGGTGGCGGTGGCGCAGGGCGTCGCTGTCCCGCGCCACCTGGTCGCCGCCGCAACGGAACCAATAACCGCCCCACAAGATACTCCGTCCGTCAATTCTCCGGGGCCCGTCTTCGTCACATCCTTTGCGTCAATTCCGCGAACACCTTCCACGGGACACGTGAACAACACGGCTGCCCACACAATCATCATATCCCCCCCTCCGACGCCCTTCTGCTCCAATCAATCCTCTTCCTCTCTCTCTCTCTTCGTGGACTAGTTGACCGGCGCCGTAATCGTGGGGTTGCGAGTGATCCGGCCGACGTTGTGTTGTGTCAATTGAATGCGTCAAGAGGGACGGGGGTTAAAAGGTCAACCGAAAGGACAAGTGGATGGGTGTCGCAGGCAGTGGAGGGAGATATCTCCGGGAGGGTCCGCCGCCGCCGCCGCCGTCGTTGGCGAGCACAAGAACTCCGCCTTTCCTTTCTCTTTCTGCGTACAGATGATGATGGCCAACTCAGACCAAGTCGTTGCGTCTCACTAAAGCTCGGACACCCTGGCCCCCAAACCCTTAGCCTGTAGAATAGACTGTTATAGATCTCCCCATCTCTATCCTTCTCTCCCTCTCTCTCTCTCTCTCTCTCTCTATCTATCTGTGCGTGCGTGTGTACCGGTCTTTTTGATGACGGGGGACGAAATGGGGGCAGCTTTTGGACCGGGGAGGTTGCGGAGACGTGATGGATTCTCCGGCGCCCTCTGCGGCATTCCAACAAACACCTGCGAGGCCCCCAAACTTAGCACGACGGCGCCGTACCCACCGAATGTAGAAAGCCACCCGTCGTTTCCTCCACCGGAGAGCCGCAACCGTGACGTCTTCTCCGACGAGCTGGCGGCGCCATCGCCACCACCCTCCACCGGCTCTTACCGTCCGGTCTCGCACGTGGGAGCGAGTTTTGCCCGCGTGGGAACGCCCCGCCGTTGACGCGCTCTTCCGTCCACGGGAAAGATGGCGTTGCCTCTCTCTCTCTCTCTCTGTCTTGTTGCGCTCTGGGTTCTCTCCCGCGGTACGATAAATTGGGGGAGAACGCGAGAAACCGGGGGATGGAAGGAGTAGCCGTTATCGTACCGTCATTAATAAAAAGTTAGCGAGGACAACCAGATAACCGAAGTGAACGGTTGCACGGTTCCGGTAACGCCTGCTGAGCTCCCGCCGTTAAGTCGTTTGCCCATCTTGACCGCCGACGATACCGTCACCGTTTCCTGAGGAGGTGACTGCATCTGATCCGCACGTGCGCCGGAGCTGTTTCCAACTTATCTGCTCCTCATCACGTGGGCCACTTGGCGGAGGTGACCTAGTTGCTGTCCGGGTGGCCCACTTTGGCCATGCCTTGTCGCGTAGTGGGGCATAACCTCCGCCGGCGCCGCCGTGCCCAAAGTCCACGCGCCGCGGTGACGACAGACCGCCGTCGCCGGCGGGCGAATCTGCGCCGTCCGATGGCTAGCTTGGCTGCAGCTGGGCCTAGCTCACGCCCGCCTCTTTCTTAAAGACGGTAAGGCACTAATTACGATCCAGTCAGGCCCATTGTCGATTCCCGATGTGGGGCCCGGCCCACTCAGGAGGCGGCGGCAATTAGTTTAAATCGGTAACATCGACGGGGATTAATTAGTGAGTTAATCTTAACTAAATCGAGGGGCGGGGTGGTGGACACGTGCGCCGCCGCGTGATCGCTGACCAGGAGCAGGACCGGCGCGGACCCCGACATCAGTGATCGAGATCCCCTCGCATCCAACGGCCTAGAAGTTGTCCACCGAGGCCGCGAGATAGGGTGTGCCGGCGGCGCATGGAAACGCGGGGGCGCAGACTGGAGGGAGCCGAGATATTGACCGGGTGAGCGGGCGTGCGAGAAAATGGTGCGAATGGCCCGCGTTTTTCTCGCCGCACGTGCGGGTGATGGGGAGATGAACCGAACCTCCAGAGCCGTGGACGGAAGGGATTCAAGAAGGAAACCCAGATAATGAAAATTATGTATTAAAATCGCTTTTTTTAGGGGTTTCTCCTAATTTTTTAAGAAATAAATTTTTATTTACATGTATATCGGTAGTGTAATTGTGATTAATAAGGTCAATTAATTTAATATGAGGAGAAAAAACGGTGAGAACAGTGGTGGCGGATAAAAGCCCAGGGGCTCCTCTCCGCCATAGCCAGGCAAAGGCTCCCCTATCTCTCTCTCTCTCTTTCTCTCTCTCTCTCTCTCTCTCTCGATCTCTGCGTCTCTGTGAGTCGCCCATCCTTTCAGATTTGCTCGCTGTTCGGGGGGACGCGGGGAACAAGGAGAAGAGGAGCAAGAATCCAAAGGACGGGGGAGGCCACTAAGGGCGAAGAGTAGGGAGGGGGGGACGGGGAGGGCGAAACTGCGGGTGGCAGGAAGGGAGGAACTTGTAGATAAGAGAGAGAGAGAGAGAGAGAGAGAGAGAGAGAGAGAGAGAGAGAGAGAGAGAGAGAGAGACCTGGTCCGGGTTGTAGAGGAGGAGGCGGTGGTAATTCCCAGGCGTCGTCTTCTTCCCCCTTCCTCCCCCGAAGGTCACTGCCCTGCCCGTCCGTCTGAATCTCGCCGCCCCCTCTTTCGCAGCTTGCCGGGAAGATACGTGGAGGAGGGGAAAGGAGAGGGGAGCCAGGATACGGCAGTGTTCTTGGCGGCGGAGCCCTGTGACGAGATCTCCATTCGGTCGATCTTCGAGGATCCCTCTGGCTTTTTCCCCTTGCAAAGTGTACATACAATTTCTTGGATTTTTTCCTGGTTTCTGGGCGGCGCTGTTCTTCCGCCAGATCTGATCCTGATCCCCCCGGGAGAGATTGCCTCTGGGGTTAGGATTATTTTGCTGGGTCTCGCCTCCTCCCTGATCTGATTGAGCTTTCGCCGGAGTCGGAGTGGAAAGAAGGACCTGGTCGGAGCTCGTCCCCGGGAAGGTCGTCGCCGCCACCCGCCGCCGCCGCCCTTCTTCTCAGATCCATGGATTTCGCTCGTCGCGAAGGCCTGCGGATCGTTTCCGCCTGAGGGGTACATCTCCGCTCCTCTCCACTCCAAATCAGATTTTCCGGCGGCGGGGGGGGGGGGGGCGGCGCTGCTGGTTTATTGGCCTGGATCCCTTGGTTCCTGCGCCGGCGTTAACATCGGAGCCCTGCGACGAGATGTTGGAGGGTCAGCCCTGCCTGATATCGCGGCCGCTGCCGAGCTCATGCGAGCAGGAGTCCAAGTGGGTCTACATGCGCTACCATCTCCTGGAGATCTCCTCCGGTAAGGGCAAGCGCCCCTCGCCGGAGAAGGAGGAGGAGCACTCCAACGGCGGCGCCCACAGGAAGAAGAAGCAGGCGGCGGCGCCGCCGCCCCCACCTGTAACTGCGGCGCCGGAGGAGGCCTCCTCCTCCGAGGAGGGGCAGGGGGAGCAGCATTACTACGAGCCGAATTCCCTAATCCAGGCACTGGGCAGGGACATCTCCATCAACTGCCTCCTCCGCTGCTCGAGGTCCGACTACGGCGTCCTGGCGGCGCTGAACCAGAGCTTCCGGTCGCTGATCAGGAGCGGCGACCTATACCGGTTCCGCCGCCAGAACCGGGTGGTAGAGCACTGGGTCTATCTCTCCTGTAGCGTCCTCGAGTGGGAGGCCTTTGACCCGCGCCGCCGCCGGTGGATGCGCCTCCCCAGGATGCCGCTTCCTAACGAGTGCTTCGTCTGCTCCGACAAGGAGTCCCTCGCCGTGGGCACCGAGCTCCTCGTCTTCGGCCGCGAAGTCAACTCCCACATCGTCCTTCGCTACAGCATTCTGACCCACACCTGGTCTCCCGGAGCGGAGATGAACACCCCCAGGTGCCTCTTTGGCTCCGCGAGTCTCGGAGAGATCGCCATCGTCGCTGGCGGCTGCAGCGCCCAGGGCGCGGTCTACAGCTCCGCAGAGCTCTACAACTCGGAGACGCAGAGATGGACGTCGCTGCCGAGCATGAACACACCGCGGAAGATGTGCTCCGGGATATTCATGGACGGCAAGTTCTACGTCATCGGCGGGACCGGCGCCGGCGGGGCGGCGCTAACCTGCGGGGAGGAGTACGACCCGCGGAGGGGCACGTGGCGGGTCATCGACGACATGTTCCCGGCGCAGAACGGCGGCGCCACCGGGGCGCCGCCGCTGGTGGCGGTCGTCGGCGACGAGCTCTACTCGGCGGACTACGCGGAGAAGGTGGTGCGCAAGTACGAGAAGAAGAGCAACCAGTGGTTGACCCTGGGGAGCCTGCCGGAGAGGTCCGTATCGGTAAACGGCTGGGGGCTGGCCTTCCGCGCCTGCGGGGAGCAGCTGATCGTGATCGGCGGGCCGAGGTCGACCAACGGGGGGAGCATCGACCTCAACGCCTGGGTTCCCGGTGAGGCGCCTCCGCAATGGGAACTCATCGACTCTAAGGCCTCCGGCGGCTTCGTCTACAACTGCGCCGTCATGGGCTGTTGACGCGGTGGATCACGCGGGTCAACGAGTTCGTCCTCAATCTATCCTCTTCCTCCCGCTCTCAAACCCCCGCCAATTCCCATTGATACTCGCCGCCACTTGCTGCAAAGCTCGGTCGTCATGTCTGCTGTGCCCAGCCACACCGTCCTCGTCGTCATCCTCCGCCGCCGCCACAGTCGGGACAATAATTCGTTTGACATCCAGATCCTTCGATCCAATGGACTTGTTCCGGCGACGGGGGGCGCCTGTTTTCTCTCCGCTTTAGGGATCAGTCAACGCCCTCTCATTTCCTTGATCGGTTGTTCATTAGGTCATTTGACCACCTCCATATTTCACTGTGGTTCGTCATTTAGAATGAACTGTGGAGAAGAAGAAGAAGAAGAAGAAGAAAGTGGAAAAAAACGTGTTATTTTCTTCCCACATAGCAGGCTCTCCGGCATTGCAGGAGCCGGGTGTTCGGGATGTCGACGCAGTTCATCCTATCTCCCACAGAGGGACGGCGCAGAGTATCGGCGCTGTCGTTTAGAGATGATCGGCATGAAATACGAAGAAGAAGCTGAGGGGGGTGCAAAGAAGATCTTCCCTCTCCCTCTCCCTCTCCCTCTCCCTCTGTTTGGTTAGGGTTTTCGCCACGGGATGCCTCGGAGGAAACCTCGATTTCTCGTTAGATATCCCATCCCACTACACTCTACGTAGATGGCTTTTGTCTCATTTAGAGAGAGAGAGAGACAATCCTGGCCCTTAGAAAACATCCTGGGCGGTGGCGCCGCCGCCGCCGCAGCAGCGTAGTACACAACGGGGGGCGGGGGGCCCATGGTTGTGGTGGTGGGCTGGTTCCCAGAACACGGCGGCGCTGGCCCCCAGAAAAAATCCTGGGCAGGGCGGCGCCGCTGCGAAGTACACAGGACCACCATGGTGGAGATGGGTTGGTTCCACAACCCGCCTAGAAGAAGATGGTAGAGCCCCCACAGCGAGAGAGAGAGAGAGAGAGAGAGAGGATCCGGTGGGGCAGAGCCGCCTCGTTGTAAGCGGCGGCGTGGCCCCTCCTGCTTCTTGTCGGCGCAGCCCCCCAGAGTAGCTAGCGTACTCCGAGGGACACGTTTTCGGACGACCATTAATGGGCCTTGACCGTCCCCTCAAACAAGGCTCAACCTGAAACAGCCCAAATTACTATTAACATTTCTACCCATCTATCTATCTATCAAGAGAGAGAGAGAGATGGGGCCTCTTTTTGGGTACAATTCAAACATCGAAGCCCAGAAAAAGTTCAGACCGGAAAGGTGAAGGCTTGCCATTACCATCATCCTTTCAAACATATGCATTCGTCACCTGTTTAGAGAGAGAGAGAGAGAGAGAGAGAGAGAGAGAGAGAGACCAGGTGTATCGCCCCTTCTGAGACCAGGTGCTCGAGCTGGAGCCGCCTGTAAGAGTGCTCTCTCGAGCATATCTTCAATAATCCTCCGGCAGAAGTCAACCATGCCGGCGGGCTTCAAGACCTTGCTTTTCCACGTCAGCCCTCGATCGAATGGTCTGAAATCCATCTGATGTTCGACTGCATACCATAAGAATATTATTTATTTATATTTATTCGATAAAATCATTTCAATTAATACTGCGGATGTCGCGCGGTGGATTATTTTGCCGGTCGGAGTCACGTGCGGAACATGGTAAGTCGCCCCACACCTCCCTCCCACCAGCCGGTAGGTGAACGTAGCCTACCCTCACCGCCGAGGCGAAAAATCTGGCTCGTCAGTCTTGGGAGTCACGTGCGGAGCCGGGGAAGGTGTCCAGATTCCTGCGTTTCTATTTTCGTGGGTCGTCTCCCTTCTGTCAACAGCTGCCGTATCTCGGAAACCTTGGCAAGTTGCCTCTCAGGGCTTTCACCCACACCCCGACCTCGCTCTCCTCTCTCCATATATACCCTCTCTCTCCCTATCTCTCCCCTTATATCTCTCTTTCTCTCTACACATATACCTCTCTCTCTCTCTCTCTCTCTCTCTCTCTCTCACTCACTTAGTCTTTGCTCTACTGTAACGATGGGGGAGAGGGACGCGGAGCCGAAGCGAGACCGGGAGGAAGGAGAGGAGGAGAAAATGGAAGGAAAGCGGCGGCGCCAGCAGCAGCAGCGGTCGCCGTACCTCCATATCCTGTCGTCATTACTCCTGGAGGAGGAGGAGGAGGAGGAAGGAGGGGAGGTCTTCGCCTCCCTCATGAGGGCCCTCGAGCGGGAGCTCTGCTCCTCCACCGGCGAATCTTCTGACAGGACGAAGGAGGCGTTCGACGCCGCAGGGGTGATGAGGCACCTCTTCGACGCCTCCGACGACGAGCTCGGGATACCCCCGCCTGGGTCACCGGCGACGGCGGTGGCGGCGGCGGCGGAGGAGGAGGGCGCTGCTGCCGGCGGTGGTGGAGGGTGGAAACTGTGGGCGGAGAATCTGGAGGAGGATGGGCTCCTCTCCGGCTGCTACGCCCACAACGATGACGACTCCCTTCTTCTGCATGCCGACAGCTTTCTCTAGCGTTATTTGGGCCGAGAAGAATTACCAATTTTGCATGGGTCTTATTAAAAAATCCACTCCATTCTTTTGTGACTGGGCAAATACTACGATCTCCTCCTCTCCTTTTTTTAACACAATAATATGAAATAAGTGATAAAAGCCCGCCGCTAAGAGGCGGGCTGGGAGCGGCGTGGTGGGGCCCTAGAATCGGGAACTAGATTGTCACCTGACGGGCAACTAACTACCACCGGTCGGACGTGTCGGTCGCACGCCGTCAGGCTTATCTGGACCCGGCTCGGCTGCCCTAGAATGGACGGTTTGAGATTATAGCAAGACCGCCGATCGGCTCCACGTGGAGAAGAAGGAGGCAGCCCTAATGGGCTGGCCACATCCATAAAGGAGCCCACTTAACCCGTTTTCCCCTTTTGGGCTCTCGAGTAAGCATAACCCGTCGCACCAGCACCTTGCAAGTCAAGGCTTTCGGCCCGAAATTTTAAGAGAGGGAGAGAGAGAGAGAGAGTGCGGGCGTCCTCTATCCTCTGATCAGAAACGGGCTCTTTGATCACAGTAATGGGCTTGGAATTTATAATAGGTCATTATGGGCCTTGATTTGGAATAGGGAGTGATGAGCTTTCACAAATGCCCGTGGACTTTTTGGCATACCAAGAAGTTTTCGGTCAACCTGTGAGAATGAAGTCCAAAACTATATCCCCTCTCCACACCCCCCTAACCACTGACCACCTTTGACAAAGCCCCTTCCCGAGGGCACATGAGAGAGGGAGGGGGAGAGAGAGATAGAGAGAGAGAGAGAGAGCGAGAGAGGGGGAGAGGGAGAGAAGAGAGAGAAAGAGAGGGGTAGAGAGAGAGAGCGAGAGAGGGGGAGAGGGAGAGAGGAGAGAAAGAGAGAGGGGTAGAGAGAGAGAGATAGAGAGAGAGAGGGAGAGGAAGAGAGAGGAGATAGGAGGGAGAGACAGCGAGAGAGGGAGAGAGAGGAGAGGGAGAGAGAGAGGGAGAGAGAGAGGAGAGAGAGAGAGGGAGAGAGAGAGAGAGGGAGAGAGAGAGAGAGAGAGAGAGAGAGAGAGAGAGAGAGAGAGAGAGAGAGAGAGAGAGAGAGAGGAGAGAGAGAGAGAGAGGAGAGAAGAGAGAGGAGAGAAGAGAGAGGAGAGAAGAGAGGGAGAGAGAGAGAGAGAGAGAGAGAGAGAGAGAGAGAGAGAGAGAGAGAGGAGAGAAGAGAGAGGGAGAGAAGAGAGAGGGAGAGAAGAGAGAGGGAGAGAAGAGAGAGGGAGAGAAGAGAGAGGGAGAGAAGAGAGAGGGAGAGAAGAGAGAGGGAGAGAAGAGAGAGAGAGAGAGCGAGAGAGGGAGAGAGAGCGAGAGGGAGAGAGAGAGAGGGAGAGAGAGAGAGGGAGAGAGAGAGAGGGAGAGAGAGAGAGGGAGAGAGAGCGAGAGGGAGAGAGAGAGAGGGAGAGAGAGAGAGGGAGAGAGAGAGGAAGGAGAGAGCGAGAGAGAGGAAGGAGAGAGCGAGAGAGAGAGACAGAGAGACAGAGAGACAGAGAAAGAGTGACTGAGTGACTGAGTGAGAGAGAGCGGGAGAGAGAGAGAGGGGGAGAGAGAGAGGGAGGGAGAGAGAGGGAGGGAGAGAGCGAGAGAGGGAGAGAGAGAGAGGGAGGGAGAGAGCGAGAGAGAGAGAAAGAGTGAGTGAGTGAGTGAGTGAGTAAGTGAGTGAGAGAGAGAGAGAGAGAGAGAGAGAGAGAGAGAGAGAGAGAGAGAGAGAGAGAGAGATGAAAGTAACAATGGAACGGATGAAAGTCCGAGTATATCATGGGTATAAATAACAGCACCGACGTTTACTGTGGGTCAGGGGAAAGTCAACGGCAAGAATAAATGCTCCACACCGTGACCGCCGGAACCCTAACCAGTTGGTCCTTCGACGCTGTCATCGTGTGGAGCAGCGGTGTGCAGCCGGATATTCAGTGCTCTGGAACGATGTGAGGCTACCGGCCGGCTGCAGGTCACCGCTCGGACGAGGATTTCACTTCTGGATGGACGTATATTGGGAAGTTGTTCACAGGCTTCAGCTGGAGTTTCTCCATCGCTGGTCTTCGGTGACTCCTCAGACTTCAGACCTTGAGATTGCTGTCGGTGGTACAAGTGATATCTGCCATGGTTGCATCACGAATACCTCACGAGAACGAAGCAAAAGAATGGTGAACCGCGGGTAATGGATGTTGCAGTGTGATTGCACAACGAATGGGGCCTGGTACCTATCTTGTCATGTGGGAAGATGGATAATAAGCGGAAGAGATGGAGAGACAACGGGGGGGGGGAGAGAGAGAGAGAGAGAGACGCTAAAGAAATATGGAAGACTCGTGACACCGGCATGGCGGTCACTGTCGAGGGCAGATGGGGATCAAGCCCGCGAGCCTTCTCATAAACTAATGAGGTTGGATGGAAAAACGATAAAATCTTATCCCTTAAACGAAGGATCCCACGGACAAACAGAAGCCAAAGGTCGCCGTGGGCATCAAAGCCGCAGAATATTGAGCGAAATAAAAAACGAGGGTTGATCACGTAGTGGGAAAAGATTCCGTATTCTTTCCTTCTTGACAAGGGGAGGCGGCCCGTTGATATACATGACAACAGATTCTTAATCAATTGAAGGAATGTATTGACTAACCAACAGTTGTTGAGCTTTCATGTGCGTTGAAATCGACTTCTGGAACCTCTACAAGGAGTCAGTTTCGCTATCTCTTTCCCTCTCTCTCTCTCTCTCTCTCTCTCTCTCTCTCTCTCTAGCTATCTCTATCTCGCTCCTTCTTACTAAAGCATGGCAGATTTCATCTTCATCGCTTCCCAAGACGTTGTGGCATGGCAGCGAACATTAAATTGCCGCATCACAAGGCGATGAGAGGGGAATTTTGGATTACATAGTCACAAGACAATCAATGCCGACAGTGGGTTCCATCCACATGGCCCGTATTTATGAGGCAATTGCAGAAAATTCGCTTATATCTCAAGAAGGGGATAATCTCACAATACCTGAGGATTTTTCAGTAGATTCTTCCACTTATTTTCGGGTGCTACGTCTAGAGAGAGGACCAGGCACCAAGGGCCAGAGAGTGTCCGTCAGGCATGTTCCTCACAGGGGGAAACATAGTTTGCTTCTCCCATGTGCTGCTGATGGCTGGCTACTTGTATTTTAAATGGAAGAAATAAAGAAACAATTGAGGCTGCGCGTCGATTTTGACCCTAAAAGAAGCAAAGCCAAATGCAACAACTCTCTCTCTCTCTCTCTCTCTCTCTCTTTCCAATTTAAGAAAGAAGTAGGGTCATAGTGATGGCCACTGTATGTTTGAAGGTTTCATATTAGATTTGACGACGCCTGGGTCTACGACCTTGACTACATAATATTGGAATTTTTTAATTTATATGCGACTTAGCCCATGAAAATTTCATATTTGAGACGAAGCAGTGAGGCTATTCTCCCAATCAACGTTCGGTACTCCCCTTGTTTATATTTAATTACAGAAGTAGCTTGGTATCGGTATTACATCCACACTCGTGCCACATGACGAACCCTAACGACAGACAGTGGAGTGGCTCCAAAGGGAATCAGTTTCTGGTTTTAGTCGCAGTCGTGGATAAGGATTGGGGTTGGATCTTTAGTTAGTGATACCGCCATTGGCAAGAAGCTCGGAAGGAACCTCGACCTTGCTCGAGGCGATGCAGGTGACGGTGGTAGCTACTAACAACAGTTCACCTAAATATTATAATGTCCCACGTATTGATTACACGTAACATGGCCTGTGTGCTCGATCCTGACGCTCCCTTTCCCCCTTTCTCCTCTCCATTAAACATTTAAGAACCCAACTTGTAGGCGCTCTGAGGACGGTATGGCGTCTCCATGTGACTCTCTCTCCCTCTCTCTTTCTCTCTCTCTCTCTGCCTCTCTGCATCACCCTGTTCTCTAGACTTGTATTTAACCACAGCGGGGGACCCTTCTCGATATCCCATGTACATACCATCCTCATCATCGACAATACCAGCCCCTACTTCGATTACTAAGCTTTGGCCTTCCTCTATCTCCCCTGCTTGTTCTTCCTCGGGTGCCTGTCGCAGACAGTACAAACTCACAAAGAAAGCGAAAGAGGGAGGGAGGGAGGGAGGGAGGAGGGAGGGAGAAGAGAGAGAGAGAGAGAGAGATGTCTAGCAGGAGGTCACGGACGAGGCAGTCAGGCTCCACTAGAATCACCGACGACAAGGTTATGGACCTGGTGTCCAGGTTGCAGTCGCTGCTTCCCGAAGGAAGGACACGGGGCAACGACAGGGTCTGCGCAGCCTTCTTTGTTTTACTCTTTAATTCTCTCCCGTTGGCTTTACATGGATACACTAGCCCCGTACTAGTTACTACACTCGTATTTATAGTATTCTCTTCTCTGTCGCTGTAGGTACCGCCTTCTCAGGTCCTTCAAGAAACCTGCAAGCACATTCGGGGGTTGCAGCGGCAAGTCGACGACCTGAGCCAGCGTCTCTCGGAGCTGCTCACTGCGGAGGAGATGACCGATGCTCAGGTAGAGATCATTAGGAGTTTGCTCACGCTGTAGAGAGGATGGCTGCTCTACCACCCTCAGCTTCTTCTTTAGTCATCTTTATCCCATCCTCTTCCGCTCTATAGGATGACGGCTTCTATAACACCGTAAATAAGGGCCTACAACCTGTTTCTTGGGTTCCGTTCTTCCTGTAAGAAGCGTTTCTGAGTGTTCTAGCGGTTCTTGGCTTTACATATTCCTGCTGGAAGTACCTGTTCGGCCATTCTCAAGTGAGATCAGTAAACTAAAATTTCCGATTATGATAAACTAATATGTTTTCAGATTAATCCATTATAAATCTAGAAATCAGGAGTGGTCTTGAACTGAAAATTACCGATAAAACTTCAATCGCTTTCAAACATGTGCACACGCATAGATATATATGTATTATTGTATAGTACTTTCGGGAGAGCAATAAAAGATGTACATTTGTATGGACAACCAATCAAACCTTATATGAGGACAAAAAAGTTTATCAACCCCTCGATGTAACAGGGAAATTTAAAAGATTCTGCGATGTTGCACCAAGATTTTGGCCGGGAATTTGTCAACGGCTAGATGGTGACGTCTCCCGGGTCCTTTCTCGTCGGAAGCGTGAAGCCATAAGACCATGAGTTGTAACATCGACTTCATATTCCCTCGGTTTTAGCATGCTTACTGCAGCTCTTCTTCCTTCTGCCCATCGACTCAACGAGTCATATGCACACAGACTACTAAACATTTTCGACCATAATCCTTTACAATTTCTTGACTGAGTATAGACTGTTAACCACGTGCGTCTACTACTTGGAAACTCGATGTTAGCCATACGACGCATCTCTAGGCATTCCGAGTAGGGCTTTCAATAGACGAGGCCTCTTAACCTAGGGACTCGGGAAAACCCGTGTGTTCGGTTCAGTCCATTGAATACACTACATGAGGGGGGAGGGGATGGGAGGGAGGAAAGAGCGAGACAGAGAGGAAACGATAAGATATCACATGTGATCCTGGGTAAACCAATCATGTAGGAAAATGATTTTTCCGAGTAGTATCCTATGTATAAACTTGCACCTTGCCTAGTTCAGTCTAATTTTCGAAGCCAAGCCAAAAAAAATTCGGTCGGGTGAGTCAAGGTGAAAACTTATCCGACTCATAAATAACTACAAAACGTAATATTAAATTTATTCTTAAAATGAAAACGGTAAGTATATATTCGAGGTATAGTTTAATAAACTTTCCAAGAATACCTGCCGACACAATCGACAGATATCAAATCATACGGAATTAAGCCATGCTCTTCCCATGGTGATCGCTCCCCTGAACATCATCAACGTCTCAAAAACGATATAGTAATTGTTAAGAAAATAGATATTTCCATCGTGCAACTCTTTTATGTGACTACAATACTAAGGCGGAGACGGGGAAGCGGTGGCGAGGTCGGTGCCGGTCTTGGAGGTGATCGATGTATCTGGAGGGGTTTTCCATACCTCCACCACGGTGAACCAGGGCAGCAATTCGCTCAACTTAACCCGGTTAACTTCTTTTGCTTCCAGAGACCAGGCTCGTCACCTCTGACCTCAGTCAGTAGGGGAGGCAGACGACATACGTACTAGTAGATATATGTGTACATATTACATATACGGAGGGCGTCTGTAGAAGAGGTCGGTCTAAAGTTATCGTCACTAGTTTGACTCCGGGAGATGGGGGCGAAGGCGCTTCCTGATATGGAGCAATAAAAACGACGAATGGCCGGCGGACAACAAAGACTGAACTTAATTTGCTGGAGTTGACTAGTTCATGGTTTCTTCGTCCAAGAGTATTGAGTCGATCTTAAAAGTTAATATCAATTCATAACGGCTGACTCGTGGGAATTTTTCATTAATTCATCCAAATAGGCGAACGATTTTTTTTTTTATTGAGATTTGAATTCTTCATTACTTCATCCAAATTGGTTTTGTATGTCTTTCCCATTCTCCACGTGCGCTTATTATAGATATGTATTATTTAAACTTACATTTTTTGAGAGAGAGAGAGAGAGAGAGAGAGAGAGAGAGAGAGAGCAGAACAAATGATGTGTTGGGACGTGCGAGTGGGGCATTCAACTTATTGGTTTCTCCTCCTCTCTGAGTTCGATTGGAGACCACGGAAGACAATTTCATAAGGCATAAAATCGTAAATAGCCTATCTTTCAATTAGTATCTTCTATTATTCCGGTTCCAAGGCACGTCAATGTGATTAAAGTCAGACTTTTGTTGACCACCATGTGTCCTCAACCTTGTCTATATACTTCACCCCGGACACATAGCCCAACGTACCAACTCGCCCATCAACGCACACAAAATATAACGAAAAGCCAAACAAACAGGCCGGAGTCCTACTGTAAGTTATATGTCGTAATTGTTTTATGGATCCCGTTAATAAGTTAATTGACGTGGCCATTTTAAATTTCACATTGTCTTAAAACAATGAATAGGCTCTCATAATTACTTCATACAAGTTTTAGTCCTCGAAGCCTATTAAATAAATTATTTACATCTCCAATTCTATTGTCCCATGTGTGTGTGTGTCGTGTGCAAGATGAAAAAGTTGTCTATCAAGGATGTACATATCCATCCCTTCGTCCATGAAAATAATCCTAGCGAATAGTTAAGACCCTCAAGTGTCCTAGACTGTGCAAATTCGTTTACCTATAAATACGTTTTCTGTCAGTTGAAGCTTTCAGGTGTCGTTCGAAAGAAGAGTAGGTTGTCCCATCTTGGTTGACAAGATTTTCAGTTCAATGATGAACTTGGTTATCTTATATGTATGAAAATGATGGTTGTACAACAATCTTCAGAACACCCTTTGATAAGAATTTATTCCTTTTCTTTTCCCTTCTATGTTTCCAGTTCGAAGGCGGAGCCAGAAAAGCTGTCCGCGAGGCCGGTTCCAGTCTTGAATGTGATCTTCCCGGAGGAGGGATCGTCGACGTACACCTCCAACACCGACAGCCACAGCAGCATCTCCCTCGCCTTCACCCCAGTTATCTTCTTCAGCTTCCGGGGCTCCACCAGCGCTGTTACCTCCGTCGCGTATGACACGAGCTGCTTGATGGCCTTGAAGTTGTGCACCCTCTTCTTCTTTTGAACCATCCCCAGGAACCCGGCCTTTCTCGTTGTAGCCGAGCTCCTCGAGGTCGTCGAGGAGGAGAAGCCCCAGCGGGAGGCCCAGCTCCTTCAGGAGGTTGGCCATCCTCTTCTTGCGGACGGCGTCGCCGCTGTAGACCTCGGCGTTATCGCGGTAGCTGTCGACGGCCAGGACCCCATTCTAGTGAACCAAGGGAAGCTTCGACGAAAAGAAAAAGGAATAGGAGTAAGCAAAGTGTGAATTAAGAGAACTAGAGAACCAAGAAAGGGAGGTGATATTGCTTGGCGACAGGGTGGGAAGAAGCCCCGAAGTTGAGGTGGTCAGTAAAGGCTAGATTATGAGGGCAATATAGGGGCTAATTTGCCCTCGGTCTACCTCCCTGATTCAACTATTTTCCGGTCTTCTGAAGAAATCAGAAGAAGGCCACCGCCCCAACCCCCCCGATTCTTGACCTGGTCGCACAATGAGTTTGAGCTGGTATGATAGTGACAGGCTTTTTCCAGAAATGGTCTCCCTTTCCTCTTGTAATCGTTGGATAATGACGCCCGGCCGACACGCGGCAACCCCCCCCCTCCCCCTAGCGACGAGAGAGGTCCAACGTCGACGGCTGCGTTGTCTGCGCAGACAGTGGAACTTTCGGTCCAGCTGCTAGGTCGTTAACATGGAGTTTGAGACCTCAGCCGATTCACTCATCAAACGTAACCACGGTGAAGAATGAGATGGTCGTCGAAGATTCATATCCATGTTTCTCCTCGTGTACACAACGTTTTCGTGTACATAACGTCGGAATTTCACTTCATCTGCACCAGTCCGTGGGTCCGTCATCACCGACGATTTTTGCTGGATTCAATGAATTCGCGGTTTTCTAGTGTAGCGCATCTAATTTCAACATTTTGATATTTTTTTCGTTCCCTCCGCGTACGAAGAAGACTACTAACATTTCTTTGCCCATTGACTTCAATCCATCATGACTAGGAACAGCTTCTTTCGAAACCGACCGTCGTTTCCTAGGTGGAGCAAAGTGTTGTTGATCTTTGAGTCCTTTGAACCGATGTAGATGACGAATTACCCTATGGCCGACGGTGGACAAGCGAACGCTGACGCCCACAGCTTGGCCAAGCCGCGGAAGGATTTCAGGCGGCCACCAGAAAGCCTACGGCCGAAGAGGCCGCCATAATGGGCTAACGAAGTCAATTTACACAGTCACGGCCCGGAGCTTGCATGGCAAAATAAACTCCAATCTCTCAGCCGGAATCAAAGGAAAGGCGGACCGTGGCGTTGGAACTAGTGGAACAGAAAAAGGCGTCTGTTAATGTAGAATATTAGGTTTTGTAATCGTCCCTAAAGTAGAAAAGTGACACTGATTTATACAAGAATACGAATATTGTATGACCGTGTGACCTAGTCTATGGTTCTTACAGAGGAAAATCGAATTGAACTTGGAAACAAAGACTGATGTGCCATTTCATCGCACTGAATTCAGGATTTCGACCAGATTCAGTCAATCCAAACCCAAAAATCTAACCGATCCACAAACATGGCCAGATATCGTGGCAAAGGTATCTTCCAAGAGCGTCAGATCGGTCAATTCTACTTAGGCTGGAGAAATTCTGGCCCAATCTTGCTCAATCTCTTGTTCGCATAATCAGATCAGTTGCAAAAAAACACCAGTTGATATTTGAATGACTAAAATGTCAGCCAGTGGACTGAGCAGTATCGAATGCTTCAAAGAAGGATGACTTGCACCTAGGTTTACTTCTGGCCTTCATCCACCCATGTTATTTTGATGAATTTTCTATCGTTACACCCTTGGAGTCAAGCAGGAGATTGGCTAAGACTCAATTTTTTAGGAGAAAAAAACCTTTTATGATTCCCTAGACACACTATGCCTATCAATGAATATATTGGGA